TGCCAGTTCGGGCGGATATTATAGAATTCCTATGACGCTATTTGAAAAGAGAAGGGCGTTCCTCTCTCCCAGTGTCCTGGCCGACAATCCCCCCAAATAAAATTGGTCACTCACTCCATGTCTGGCCATGGGACACTGCGGTACGCCTATTGGCTGCCACGTTTCGGTTTGATCAGTCTGGTCGGGAAACTCCTAAGCAAGTGTCAGACACCCAGCAGACCAAACAAAATGAAAAGTGCTGGCACATTGCTTCAAAGAAAACATGTTTTTCAGTTCTCACCAGAGGAGGTGAGTGAACTGTGTCTGTGAGCACCACAGCGGAGCAGACAGACAGCTTGTGTATTACCCCTGCAGCCTGTCCTCACTCCCTGCCCACCACCCCCCCACTCGGCACCATCTCACGCAGCACACCATCTGTGAGCACAGCAAGTAACTGTGTTGTTTTTGGAGTGTGAAGATGGAGCCAGCGCCCGGCTGGTGGGGCACACTGCAAACACGAAATGTGAACTGTCCTGTGTGTGATTAGGTCTGGGCTCAGCTTCAACCTTATCATAACATGAGACAATGGGAGCAATTACCAGTAAAATCCTTCACAGCACTGACTGGGGCAGCCTCACATCGCTTACTTTTCCAGACTATTTATCATATCCTGTGACACTCTTTTCACACTAACTTGATTGCTGACCTGCCTATTGTTTTTTTTTGCAGAGAAGCAAAGTTTTCTCTCGCAATGACGACACGTTTTCTCGAAGTGCAAAATGTTTTTATTTTCACTCACAAAGTACAGTCACTCCACTTTACGGTATATCCTGTGAAGCACTTTGAGACATCGCGACGACACGATAAGGCACTGCATCAAATGCAAGAATTATTATTATTAAATGGAAATAACGACAACTGTATAATAACTTACATTGGAGACTGGGCAATGAGTTCAGATAGGCTGAGGTTCTGGGTATCGAACCTTCCTCAACCCCCCCCACCACCCCCTAACAGGTGGATAAACCCTGTCCCTGCTTTCTATGGACATAGGCGTTCCACTTATGTGTGAAGCCCCTAACCATCCCCCTGTCGCGGGCAATGGCCATTTGAGGCTCAATGTGTGGCTCCCCAGCCCAGCGCTGGAGCTACCTGTAGCTCAGTGGTTAGAGCGCTCGCCTCACAAGAGAAAGGGACCTGAGTTCGATTCCCGGCAGGGCAAAACATTGGGCAAGTTTCCTTACACCTCACGCCTCTGTTTACCTAGCAGGAAGAAGGAACCCGGTTGTTAGTCAATTGGTGGGGGTAATAATTCCTTCAAACAAAATTAAAAATAATAATTTGGTCACAACTGTTTGTGGGACACTGCTGTGCACAATTGGTTGCCGCGTTTCGCCCACAAAACGTACAGTCAATTCACTTTGCAGTATATTCTGTGTAACGCTTTACATTATCTCGAAGATGTGATAAGGCGCGATATCAAAAAAATGCCAGGATTATTATCTGATCTCTGACCGCTCCCAGCATCGGGAGCAGCTCATTGTGTGGCTGGCATTGTCAGTGGCCAACAGCAGGGAGGTTGGCTCCCGCAGGACTCTCCAAATCCTTAAGCAGATACAGAGCAACTTGGGCTGAATTCAAAGCTGCTTCCCCAAAGGACAATCCACACAATGCACCACCCAGCTTCCCACATCACTTGTTTTAAACATATTGAAGCCTCATATCTGTCCCTTAAAAACTCCATTCAATTCCTACTTTTGTTTCCCCGATGACTGAGCCTTAACCAATTGTTCTCAAGTGTGGTGGATGTTTGAGTCTATTCTACGCTCCACAGAACACATTCAACCCCTTGTGCCTGTGGAGCCGTTGTCAGTCAATCAATCAGTCAGTCATAGAGTCAGTCAGTCAGACAGAGGTTCTGGCTCATTGGGGAGGGGTGAGGGGAGGTGGGGTGATTGGCTTGATATTAACAGAGATGTGGAGGTGTGAGGGAGGTACTGACTCAGCACCCTATATCTCAGGCAGTGAACGGTGCACAATGTATTATAGGAAAAGGCTGCAGGGAGAAGGACAGCAAGAGAATTCATGTTATTTCCTGACAACCAACTGCGGACTAACTTCCTGTTAGCTTGGCGATTCCACGTCTAATCTGCCAGGGAGATTCTGCTTCTGTTTTCTCTGCAGTGATGTGCTATGGAGGAGTCTGTGCGTATGTGTGGATGGTGGGTGAGAGCAGGAATGGGCTCTCACTGCCCAGTTCACATTCAACAACAACTTGCATTACAATAGTATCCTTCATGCAAGTTAGAGTTTCAGAGCGCTTCAAACCTCAGGTCCTCTGACCCAATCTCCCAGTCCCGAAAATCACATGCAACACTTCAGAACTCATTAAAAAAAACTCTGCACAATCACGTCACTGTAATTTAATTTTATTTTAAAATTTTCTCTCCAGAGAAAACAAATTGATTGCAACCAAGAAGCTTTTGCTTGAACATTAATCATAACAAACATGTGACAAAAAAGGATAGAATTATTTACAGAAGTCACAGCTCTGTGTTTGCTAATACTATATAATAGTTCTAGTTTTGGAATGCCACCTTATGTCTAAAAGCATTTCATTGAGTTTTCCGTAAAGTGTAGTGACTGTGTATTTATAACCAATTTGTGCATCAACAATATCCCACAATCAGCCATGAAATTCTTCTCTTTTTTAATAGCGCTGCAGGATCTTTAATGTCCACTTGGAAAGGCACAAACAGGACCTTAGTTTAATGTCTCATGTGAAGGACGGTGCCTCCAACAATACCGGCAGAAAAAGATCCTGTCGAGGAATTTTCCGAGGCTGGATCAGCTCTGGTGCCAGAGAAGAGGAACAATGGGTTTACTGAAAAACAATACCTGTGTGACATGGGGTTAAACCTCCTCCAGTGCATTGCACAGTAATGGATCAGTGTTTGCTGTAACCTGAGAGCTTCCTTTCTCTGCACTTTAACTGACGAGTCACCGTAGTTGCAATCTCAAATACAAAATCCTAGCTACAAATAAATATATAAATAACCATCTCCAGGAGTTTCCAGAAACTCCCTTTTCTGTTTGAATAGTACTATGAGATCCACCTGAATAGGCACTGATGGGACCTTGGTTTAATATCTTATCCAAACCAATAGCACCTCTGCCAACACATGTTGCCTTCAGGACTGCATTGGAGTGTCAGCATGGACTGTGTGCATTCTATGTCCTAATGTGGGGGCTTGAACCCACAATCTTCTGACTCAGTACCAAACTGAGTCAGGCTGACTTTGCTTAGAGTGTAAAAGCTATTGACAATTATTTATGGATATCATACATTAATGTTCTGTTGGAATTGGGCAGTGCACGTGCTGAGCTAGCGAGGGAGGAGATGTTATTTTTTGATAAAACCCTTTGTCTTAGTTATTAATTTGCTGGGGTGACTGGCTACGGCAGAATTAGCCTGACCTGTGCCAACTGATAACTCCACACTGAAGTTAAACAGTGAAAGCTTACACACAATCATCTTCCAGATTGTGACTTGGGGAGGAAAAGGAGAGGATGAGAAGAAGTTCTTTGTGTGGAATTATTTGCCAGATGCACAGCAGAGTCGAATGGGGCTATCTCTCTTCAACCTGCTCTCTCCCTACACCACTACCCACTGCCGGCAATTGCAGAGGAGGGGTATTAGAGGGAAAGAGCAGGGGATTGGCATAATTGATAGGGTGCAGTAATAATTGATTTGGAAAAATACATTAAACGGCATCCTGTGTCACACGTTTTTGTGCTTTTATGAACAATAATCGAATCACAACAAAGCGCTGGAGGCTTATGCTTCACACGGCTCCCGGCTAGATTGTGGCTCCTCTCATTCTCTACCTCTCTTATCCTCTGATTGAAGCGACAATAACAAAACTTGCATTTATATAGCGTCCTTCACGCCGGATGGGGTCTCGGAGTGCTTAACAGCTTATAACAGTCGAGCCAGGAGGAGGTAGGGGTGACCGTAGGCATGGTTAAAGAGGAAGGTCTTCAAGCACGATCTGAAAATGGGGAGGGGGCAAGGCGAAAGGATTGAGGAAGAGAGTTCCACAGCTTCGGGGTGTAGCGGCTGAAAGCACGGCCGCTGATGTTAGGGTAGAGGGTCCGGGTGACACGAAGGCTGGAGCTAGTCGAGCGGAGGCAGTGGGTAGTGGTGTAGGGAGAGAGCAGGTTGAAGAGAGATAGGGAGTCGTGTGCTGAAGCTGTGCTGCACAGACAATGGGGAGGTTACACAGAGAAACCCAAAGAGGAATTGGGCATTTTACAAACATAGCAGCAGATTTTAGTTTGGTTGAAAAATTATTCACATCACAAAGTGTTCCCCACTGTCAGGCCGGTGCTAACACTGATACGCTCTCAATACCATTGCCAATAAATAGTCGTACCAAAGTCAATGTACTTTTATCTGCTGGTGACTATTCTATTCGTGAGCAATCATTAAATTGCTCAGATGTGATCAAAGCGGCTCTTGATTTCAGTTATATACTCACCACATCTTGTCACGTGAAGACATCTCAAGGAGCTTCACAGGATTTGTACTGTAAAGTGTAATGACTATGTGCTTGTAGGTGAATGTGGCAGACAATTTGCTCACATCAATGTCCCACAAACAGCCATGAAGTGAGTGACTGTTCTGGGGAATTGTTGGTCAGGACAGATGGCAGGCCGATGTGTGCAGGGAACATGTGGGATTGTGGCGCCTTTTTACATTGGAAATGGCCTGGGAGGAATCAGGAAATGGGACACGGGGAGTGTGAGTGTGGAGGGGGCTCGGTGAGGGAGGGATTTAAAACGAGTGAGTGAACAATAAATAAAATATTAATACTGAGACAAGCCTTTTCTGTAGATTGCTTCTGACCTAATTAGGTCAGGGTATTAAGGGATACGGGGCAAGGGCAGGTAATTGGACTGGAGGTACTGATCAGCCATGATCTTGTAGAATGGCAGAACAGGCTCGAGGGGCTGAATGGCCTCCTCCTGTTTCTATGTTTCACTGTTTATCAATGCGACATTGTACTATGGGAATGGTTATTGGTTGGAAAGATAAATTAAATAAAGTCTGTAAGTAATTGATGGGATCTGTTCCATGGTTTGACTGAGTTGGATATTCCCCCCGGGAAACAAGGGAAGTTTTTATCCAGTTTTTAGTGAAGCGGTTTTGTTGCAGAGCCCAGGGTTCAAGGTTCAGCATCGTGTCAAACCGCAGTGGAATGTCACCTCCAGGATGTGGATGTCAGGATGAGTTTGAGAAACGTCCCCTCAGGGCTGCGAAAGCCACTCACAGGAGCAAACATCACCAGATCACCAGCCTCGGGTAGAGAGGGGCCTTTTGCCTGTCTGGTCTCTGTCCCCACCCCCCCGGGAACACCCCCCGCACTGTCTGCCCGCCACAGCCCGGAGCCGCTGTCCGTTCGCTGTCGCACAGCTCAGACTGTGATGTCCCCCTGCCGTCTCCTGCTGCTGCTCAGGCTGCTGGCGCGGCTCAGCTCCCGGTGGCTGTGGGGGGGGTCGGGTTCTGCCTTTTCCATGCCCGAGTCCAGGAAGGAAAATGTCTGCAGTTGGGGGCTCGGGGGGCTCGGGGGGCTGCCCAGCTTCTGCTCAGCCAGTCTCTGCTCGGTGGTGAAGTTTGTCCAGTTCTGTTCGGTGGATGTCTTGTATCCCTGGCACGAAGGGTGCCTTCCCTCCACCGAGGGGTACATGTAATTGATGGGCACGGAGACATTGCCATTGAATGGGCTCTCGGGGGGGCTGTACATCTTCTCCTGCAACTGCTTGTTGGGCCGTTGCTGGATGCTCCTCATCAGACACTTGCCGACCAGGTGCAGCATCTCCAGGAGGTTGAGCATGAGTGAGATCAGGGCTACGGCGAGCATGAAGAGAATGAAGATGGTCTTCTCGGTGGGGCGCGACAGGTAGCACTCCACCTTGTGCGGGCACGGAGATCGCTGGCAGGTGTAGCTCGGCGACATTGTAAAGCCGTACAAGTACCACTGTCCCAGCAAGAAGCTGACCTCAAAAAACATTCTGAAGATGATACTCAGGGTGTAGGTCCACATCAGCGCCCCCTTAATGTGGACCTTTCCTGTTTCATCGATGCTGTACTTTTGCTTCTTCCTTTCAATCTGTTCCAGGTCCAGCTTGTCCTGGCTGTCTTTGGTTTGATGAGATTTCAGGATCTCCTCCCTCAGTCTGAGCTTGGCTTCCTTCCTGCTGATGTGCAAAACGTGGCCCAGGTAGACGAGGGTTGGGGTGGACACGAAGAGTATCTGCAGGACCCAGAACCTGATGTGAGAGATGGGGAAGGACTTGTCGTAGCAGACGTTCTCACAGCCCGGCTGTGCCGTGTTGCAGATGAAGTCTGACTGCTCGTCCCCCCACACATACTCAGCCGCCGTGCCCAGGATCAGGATGCGGAAGATGAACAGCACCGTCAGCCAGATTTTGCCCACGGTGGTTGAGTGTTCCTGTACTTCATCCAGGAGTTTTTCCAGGAAGCTCCAGTCTCCCATGGCTGCCCTGCCAATACAAGACAGAGTGGTCACTGTAGCTCAGTGGTTAGAGCGCTCACCTCACAAACGAGAGGATCCGGGTTAGATTCCCGAGCAGCGTGAAACGTTGGGCAAGTTTCCTTACTCCACACGCCTCTGTTTACCAGTAGTAAGTAGGAACGCGGTTGATAGTGCACTGGCGGATCGCTTTCCTGAGGGTTATAATCACTTAAAAAAGTAATTAAAAAATAATAATTTGGTCACTGAATCCGCGACTGTTTGTGACACACTGCTGTGTGAGTTAGCTGCCACGTATTGCCCACAAAATATACAGTCAATTCACTTTACAGTAAGTATATTATGAAGCGCTTTGAGACAACTCAAAAATATGGTAAGGCGCATATCAAATGCAAGGATTATTATTATTATAATATCACACAGCTCACGACTCTCCTTCTCCACAATGCCAATGGAAGGAAATGCATGTGATTTTTTGGGTCAGTCTGACTCACGTGGAAACCCATCATCATGTTAAAGAGTATCCAAGCCAAACTGGGAGTTCCATACATTCCACTTACACATGGAAATTCCCCTTAATGGAACAGAATATGCACTCAGTCCCTTAGAACACATTTGTTAGTTACAGAATCTGCACTAAAAGCCTCACATTTTCACCCATTTTCTCTTCCTACATTGCCTGTCATCCCGCAACACTGTCACTGTCAGGGTTTGCCCTGAGTTTCCTGGTCCGATTGTTGTCTAACAAGTATTGATTTACGTCATGTGTTGCAGACTCCGCTCGGGATGCTAATGGACTGAAGGCAGAGATAGAGCAGTAAGGCAGAGGCTGTGTTAAAGCCGGCATCACACAAGGTAATTGGCCGTTCCCTTCAGATTATTTTATAGAAAATGTTAAAGCTGTCAACACACAAAGCCTCACCCAATCCCCACACTTCTCCTACTTTGACTCAATTAAAGCACTTGGCCAACAACAACTTGTATTGATATAGTGTCCTTCATCCAGAGCAGCGTTTAAACAGACTCCAACAGCAGCCTAATCTGATCCGCTGGCAATTCATTCACATTCGTGGGATGATCAGCTATGTCTGTTGACATGTAGATTGTGCTAGTCTTTTTGTGCAGTGGACTTGATTCCTCAGACACTCCACCTGACATTTCTCCAGATCTTTTCCCTGAACCTTTCTCTCCCCTGATTCACCGGAGAGCAATTGCTGGGGATCATTTGGGGAGTGAGAGACTGGTGCACTTTTCACCTGATTAGATTCTACAAATGTTAGTAAAGAAAAAGGGGGAAATTTAATTCCCATCAAAGGGGAAATCAACTTCCACATATCAGGCATAAAACATCACAGAGACCATGGAGACGAGTTTGATTAGAACAAAGATCACTCCATTCCTATAATCCTTATATTTGATACAGCGCTTTTCATTACAGGAGGATGTCTCAAAGTACTTCACAAGATATACTGTATAGTCCAGCGCCTTGGGACGTCCCCCCGACGTGAAAAGCGCTCTATAAATGGAATCTTGTTGTTGTTGTTGTTGTTGTAGTGTAATGACTGCATTTTGTAGGTAAACACAACAGCCAATTTGTATACAGCCAAATCCCACAAATAGCCATGAAGTGAATAATCAATTTTATTGGGGGATTGTCGGCCTGGAAACTGGGAGAAACGCTCTCCTTTTTTCAAATAGTGTAATGGAATCTTTAACATCCACCTGAACAGACAGACTGGTTTAATATCAGTTTAAACTAAACCTCAGTTTAACCCCTCATGCGAAGTACGACATCTCCAACAGCACAGTGCTCCTCCCAACACTGCATTGGAGCGTCAGCATAGACTGCATGAGTTCTAGGTTACACAATCTTCTGACCCAGACGTGAGAGTGCTACAAACTGAGCCAGTCTGACACATTCCAGCTAAAAATAAGCTTCAGACTCAGTCTTAGAAGAGGGCCTCCTACCACACTAGTTCGAGTCTCTGTTTCCCAAACAGCCAACCTGTGGCTTGTTTATGCGAGAGACAGAGATTGCCAACGGGTGCCAACTAGAGGGTGGGTCCCTGTGGTTTGAGCCTGTGCTCAATAGGACACAGTTAAAGCTCAAAATGTTTGTTCTGTTGGGGTGGGGGGCGGTGTGGGCAGAAACAGAGACCCACCCCTCTGTAGGGACCTTGTGATTCCCAATCTCTGTTACAATGTACAGTGGAGAGCAAGGGAACAACTGCTTTATTGCTGGGAGAGATTCAAGATTGTATTTCTCCCCATCCTGTAGCCTCTGTCAAAGCAAAAGTACTAACATCCGACAAACAACTTGAATCCTCCACAACTTATTGAAATCTTATTCCACAATAAAAAGGCACTGCGGTAAAATGAACAAAGGAAGAATGTCAATAAAACAAGAACAAATTATATGGAGGGCAGGGATGGTGGGTGTAGGAGGGTGACCGAAGGTACGGTCTAAGAGGAAATAATATAAATAAATAATAAAAAAATAAATAATATTCCTTACAGTCCCATACTATTCCTAAATCAACGGTCAATAATTCTATGTAAAGTTTTCACATGGTGTAAATATTCTCTCTCTGCTGTTTGAAAAGTGTAAACCTGGTTGTGAGAGTGAATGACGAGGAATTGTGGATTAATGGCAGGGACCTGCTTGCTCCCTTTGTCTCCAAACATCCTCATTCGGATTGTAACGGGGAGCTGATTGCTTGGCAGCCCCACCACACCGCATCACTGAACAGAGGAGAGTTTAGTAACTTACCAGAAAGTGGTTCAAAGCCAGAGAGAGCTGTAATCCGACACCGCAGGTTTCGAGTTCGCAAGGCTTCACTGAGAAACTTTTCCCAGAGTTTGTTATTTAAAGGGAGACCTCCTCTTGACGTCACTCCCGTGCCAAGCAACTGGTCCAACTAACATTTTTCTTCTGGCAGCAGAAGCCCCACGCTCATGTTTCCAATAAAGCACAAACGAAATCAATCCATTAACAGGCCTGATGATTCACACAAAATCACAGCACATACTGATTTTACTGTAAGTGCCTCAGATCCAGGCTCCTGATTCTGCATCACCAATCTCCAAAAAACAGTAACACCTCACTCCCTCACACAGCCCTGTGGACGGCACAGCACGGGCAGGGGAGGGAAAGTCACACCCAGCACAAAGTAACTGCTTTATTTTTCCCTTTCAGAGCTGAACCTTTCTGGTAGCGTAAAAAATCCTGGAAGTTTTACTTCCTGTGCTGCGGAGAGCTGGAGGAGGGAATAAAACATGGGAATGTGCCAGAAAATGTGTACACTATACACCATCAAATAGTGGGAAGGAGATAGACGAAAGATGCAAAACCAATAGTGATAATGGGGGACTTCAATTATCCTCACATAGACTGGCAAAATAACAGTGTAAAGGGCAAGGAGGGGGAAGGATTCCTGAAGTGTGTGCAGGATAACTTTCTTGATCAGACTGTTTCCAGCCCAACGAGGAAGGAAGCAGTGCTGGATCTAGTTCTGGGGAATGAAGTGGGGCAAGTGGAGCAGGTTTCAGTAGGAGAGCAACTGGACATCAGTGATCACAACTTCATTAGGTTTAGAGTACTTATGGAAAGGGACAAAGAACAATCAAAGGTGAAGATACTCAACAGGAAGAGGGCAAATTTCAATGAATTAAAAAGGGTCCTAATGGTGGACTGGAAAGAAAGATTGACAGGTAAAACAGCTAACGAGCAATGGGAAGCCTTCAAGGAGGAGATAGTTTCGGGACAGAACAAATACATTCCCACAAAGAGGAAAGGTAGGGCACCCAAACCTCTCTGGATGAAATAAGGAAATTGGAATTAAAATAAATGTCAGGTCCAGAATACAGAAGATAATCAAATAGAATATAGAAAGTACAGAGAACTGAAAAAGGAAATAAGTGGGGTAAAGACATCATATGAGAAAAGATTAGCGGGTAACATAAAAGGGAACCCTAAGGTATTTTATAAGCATATAAAGAATAAAAGGTTAGTCAAAGGTTGGAGGGTCCAATTAGGGACCAAAGAGGATATCTTCTTGTGGAGGCAGAGGGCATGACTGATGTACTAAATGAATACTTTGCATCTGTCTTCACAAAAGAAGATACAGCCAATGCCACAGTATCGGAGGAGAGGTTAGAGAAATTGGATAAGATAAGATGAGGAGGTACTAAAAAAGGTTGTTGGTGCTCAAGGTAGATAAGTCACCCGGTCCGGACGGGATGCATCCAAGGTTACTGAGGGAAGTAAGGGTGGAAATAGCAGAGGCTCTGGCCACAATCTTTCAATCCTCCTTGGACACTGGAGTGGTGCCAGAGGACTGGAGGGTTGTAAATGTTATTTCCCTGTATAAAAAGAGGCAGAAGGTTAAACCCAGGAACTACAGGCCAGTCAGTGTAATGCCAGTAGTGGGAAACTTCTAGAGACAATAATCCAGGACAAAATAATTTTTCAATTAGAAAAATATGGGTTAATAAAGAACAGCCAACACAGATTTATCAAAGGCAAATCATAACAAACCTGATAGAGTTTTTTGATGAGGTAATGGAGAGGGTGGATGAAGGTAGTGCAGTTGATGCAATTTATATGGATTTTCAAAAGGTGTTTGATAAAGTGCCGCATAAGACACTTGTAAGTAAATAGAAGCCCCCGGTATTAAAGGAACAGCGGCAGCGGATAGAGAACTGTCTGGGAGACAGAAGCAAAGGGTGGTGGTGAACGATTGTTTTTCTGACTGATGTCCAGTTCTGTAACCATGCTGCCACTGTTCCTTTAATACCAATGCGAAAGTGTGCAGTGGTGTCCCCCAGGGATCGGTATTGGGATCACTGCTGTTTGTGATCTATATAAATGACCTGGACTTGGGTATCAGGAGCACAATTTCCAAGTTTGCAGATGATACTAAGCTGGAAAAATAGTAATCAGTGAGGAGGATAGTAACAGACTGCAAATGGACATAGACAGACTGGTAACGTGGGCAGACACGTGGCAGATGAAGTTTAATGTGGAGAAATGCAAAGTGTTGCATTTTGTGAGGAAGAATGAGGAGAGGCAATATAAGCTGATGGGACAATCTTAAAGGGGGTGAAGGGACAGAGAGACCTGGGGTCATATAAGGAAATCTTTGCAGGTGGCAGGACAGGGAGATAAAGCTGTTAAAAAAGTATCCGGGATACTGGGCTTTATATATAGGGGCACAGAGTACACAAGTCAGGAAGTTATGATGAACCTTTATATAAAACACTGGTTAGGCCTCAGCTCGAGACTGGGTTCAGTTCTGGGCCCCACACTTTAGGAAGGATGTCAAGGCATTGGAGAGGATGCAAAGGAGATTGACCAGGATGGTACCAGGAATGAGGGGCTTCAGTTATCAGGAGAGGTAGAGAAGTGAGGATTATTGTCCTTGGAGCAGAGAAGGTTAAGAGGAGACTTAATAGAAGTTTTAAACATTATGAGGGGATTTGATAGGGTGAACAAGGAGAAACTATTCCCACTGGCGGGTGGGTCGGTAACCTGAGGACCCCGGTTTAAAATAGCTGTTAAAAGAAAGAGGAGAGGGGAGGGGAAATGTTTTCACACAGCGAGTTGTTGGGATCTGGAATGCATTGCCTGAAAGGCTGGTGGAAGCCTATTCGATAACAACTTTTAAGAGAGAAGTAGATAATTATTTGGGGAGGACAAGTTTGCAGAGCTATGGGGAGAGCGCGGGGTAGTGGTTTTTGATTTGTATAGGTGTTTTCTGAGAGCCAGCATGGACATGGGGCTAATGGCCTCCTTCTGTGCTGTATAATTCTATGATCCTATGAAAATCCTGGAAGTCTGGAAATGCAGTAATAATGTGGGACATATGATTAACATCAAGATCTGCTCAGAGTCAGACTTGGATTGTCTGAATGGGCAGTGGTAGTGATTGGGAAAGTAATTTGTGGTTCGGCTTAACAAATACATACAGTCACTATACTTTACAATAACTCCTGTCAATTGCTGGGGTTAGATTGGCTGACACATTTCCTACAAAATACACACCTATGACACCTTACAGTAATATCCTGTAAATAACAACAACAATTTAGCGTCTTTCGTGTTGGGAGGGCATCCCATGGTGTTTTGAGACTTCCTCCTGACATAAATGGTTCTAAATGAAATGCAAGGATTATTCTTATTACTAATAATAATAACCTGGAAGCTGCTTTCTTTCTCGAAAAAAAAACCAGATTCCAAATCAAGACTGGGTTTTAAGATCTTTCCACAATTTTTTGCCATCTTGAATTTTAAGGAAAAATTGTGTCGTGGAATAACATGGTGGAATTTGAGACCTTTAAGCTCCACAGTCTGACAAGGTCTTGCCTCAAGCACGACTTTCTCTGGATTTATTTGAGCTGCGTATAAATTGATTCCAAATAAAGAATGACATTTTGTGGTGATGTGATTGAAGTGGCTACATGTTTTGTCCATGTCTAGAGCAGGCAGGAGCTTAGAATAACACAGAACTCTCAAAAGCACAAAAATAGCCAAATGCTTCAGCGTTTAAAAATAACCAGAAAATTGGAGATAACTTTGGTGAGGTTGTGGGAACTGCTCGGAGACTCACGACCCAGTGAGAATCACTATAATCCAACAATAATATCAGATTGCCGAAGGCAAGGAAAGGTTCAGGAGGAGGTGACTGCTTCTGACTGGCTCTCTCACATACTGGCTTGGTTAGTAACACTCTCACCTTCGAGTCAGAAGTTGTGGGTTTAAACCCCATGTTAGGAGTGACATTGCCCAGGCTAACACTCCTGTGTGCTGATGGGAATATATTGCATTGTTGGAAGTCTCGCCTCCTGTTCAAATGAACTTTGCGGTGTGGGCCTACATTCAGTCCATCTTGTCTGCACTGGCTCTCAAAGCAAGCCGTCCATTCAATCCCCCTGCCCTATCCCCACGCCCCTTCAAGCCGCTATCTTTCATATCCTCATCAATTCCTCCAATTATATTGATTATCCCCCTCATTGATGTGCGCAAATTGGCTGATGCGTGGGCTTGTCAGTGGGCTGGAGAGCCAAGGGACTGAGGAGGTGGGAGGTAAGGTGGGGGAAGGTGTCTCTCCCAGTCTTTAGAGACCACCAATACACTGAATAAACTCAGTGATCTATGGGAGAAACTCCACACAGCATTTCAGATGCTATAAGGAGCGATTGGTAACCAATTGGTTCATCTGAAAAGGATCCTTCCCTCTCTTTCCCTTAGGAAAGCAAAGCCAACTGCTCAGGACCTGAAAGTAACTCTCAACATAATTTATTTTAATTGATTTATTTTATTAGTATCAAAAAGTCTCAAAGTTTTTTTTAAACATTTGACAGTCAAATTGTTTTTTTTGGTCAGCCGGGTTTCTGATACATGTGGAATCCCATCACCGTGTTAAAGAGTATCCAAACCAGACTGAGAGTTCCAGGCATCCCATGGACATTCCTGTGTTTTCAATGGAATGCGCACTCTCTCCCTGAAGAAATGTTCTCTGCTTATCTAATTCAGGAGTGTATTGGATGCAGGTTATAGGAATGTAGGAGCAGGAGAAGGGCATACAGCCCCTTGAGCTTGTTCTGCTATTCTATAAGATCATGGCTGATCTGCACCTCAAGTCCAAGAGTCAAGGTTTGGGGGACCCCACAGTGTGTGTCGGAGACGCACACTCAAAACACAGCTGAAACTGCATTGTTCACCATCAATCTTTTTAAAATTTTATTTCCTTTGATAAATAAACAATCAAACCAACAGACAAACAAATAAACAAACAAACAAACAAATAAATAAATAAATATTGCATTTTGGTAGAAAGAATGAGGGGATACTGGGCTTTATAGGGGCATCGAGTACAAGAGTCAGGAGGTCATGATTAACCCATATAAACACTGGTTAGGCCTCAGTTAGAATACTGCGTCCAGTTCTG